AGGTGAAATCTCAGGGTCGTTTTGATTTGCATTTCCCTGATGACTAAGGACTCTTGAGCATTTCTTTAAGTGTTTCTCTGCCATCCTATATTCTGTTACAGAGAATTCTCTTTTTAGCTCTGTACCCCATTTTTTAATTGGGTTACTTGATTTTTTGTTGTTGTTGTTGTTTAACTTCTTGAATTCTTTATGTATTCTGGATATTAGCCCTCTGTCAGATACAGGATTTGTGAAGATCCTTTCCCAGTCTGTGTGCTGTTGTTTTGTTCTGACAACAGTCTCCTTCACTTTACAAAAGCTTTTCAGTTTCATGAGGTCCCATTTATTGATTGTTGATCTTTGTGACTTGCCAAAACCACAGAATGGAAAAAAGATAGCATCTTCAACAGATGGCTCTGGTCTAACTTGATGTCTACATGTAGAAAAATGAAAATAGATCCATATTTCTCACCCTGCAGAAAATTAATATCCAAGTGTAACAAAGACCGCAACATAAAACCAGACACACTAACCCTCTCAGAAGAAAAAGTGGGGAAGAGCCTTGGACACCTAGATATTCTTTTAAAGCTGTATTTAGAAAGTATTCTGCATCTCACTTGTAAAGATGACTGACTTTAAAGCAATAGTCTCTGGTTCCTTTTCACTTGAAGGCAAACATGAAAATGGAAAGCACCAAAGGCCTTCTGCTCGTTATTTGTAAGGTGAACATTAGAAATTTCACATCGCAATTGTGTTTAGAAACTTTGTACATCTTAGGGAATTATTTACATGGGAATGTTGTAAAGTTAGCTTAATAAAATTATAACAAAAGTGATAAGAATAAATTCAAGGTAAGGAAATAGCAGTTTTCTCTGGTATGAGTTTTCTTAAAGTAATTTTTGCAAATGCAATTCACAGGCTTTTTCTGAGCATAGTCCAATACCACGTTCAAGAACTATACCTCTATGTGAACTTGTATTAATGTTTTAAATAAATATTCACACTTTTTTATAGATAGCAAAATACCATATTGTTGTCCGGCTTTCATGGAATAATTTGGATTTTCAAAGAAAGCAGGATATTTTCCCTTCATATTCTTCCAACTAATTTGGAGTGATCAGATTGTTTTTTCTAAGAAATATACATCAATATGTAATTTTACATGAAAAACTATTATCATTTCTTCTTGCAATAAACTAGTCACTATTGCATTTTCTTTTAGAGAAAGCGCTGCATTGTTGGGAATGGCTTCAATAGTGGCACAATGTTTAACCAGTAACCTCTGCTTTCTGATTGGATTTCAGTACTACTCCATAGAAAGAAATCCCTACCTGGTACTGTTAATCTAACCAAAAGTCCATGGTTGTGGAGCTTAAAGACCCTTGAAGCTAGCCTACTAGTGTTAGTCTGTTTAATAAACACTGTCAAACTGCCTTCTGGAATCATATATCTCTAACTGTAAATTAGTCAGCTTTTATACCTCATCAAAGAAATCTTTTTACAGTAAATATTTAACATAGAAACAACTGGTCAAAGTATATAGACTAGGTTTGAAGTACTCATCCATACATGGGAAATCTATATATTATCCTCACCCTCCTAAAGACTGAGAGATCACTGGAGAAGAGGAGATGGGAAGATTCTAAGAGCCAAAAATAATTTAATACCAGAGCTAACCATTTTGCTGATAGGACTACTAAACTCAATAATTCTTAGCAGTTACATTTATCTATAAAATATTTATATAAGATAAAGCCAGCCAACATTCTAGCGTAGACTGAGGAAGGGTTCCTGACCCTCACTCCTAAGTGATGGGCTATGGGCAATTGATTTCTGAGGGAATGTGCTGTGTAGTCTTGCGTGAACTTGAGAATAACTAGAATCATCTTAGAAGAGGGAACGTCAGTAAGAAAATGCCCCCACCAGATTAGCCTGTAGTGTGTTGTTTTTGTTTGTTTGTTTGGTTGGGTTTTTTTGTTTGTTTGTTTTTGTTTTTCGTTGAAGATGTACGTGGAAAGGCCCAGCTCACTGTGGGAGATGGTGCCACCTCTAAGCTAATGATCCTTGATGCCATAAGAAAGCAGGCTGGGAAAGCCATGAGGAGCAAGCCAGTAAGCAGTCCTCCTGATCTTCTGATTTTTACAATTTTCCCAACTCCTATTCTGCAATGTCCCCTTAGACTTAGGTGTGAGAGTGTTTTGTAAATGTGTCCATTGTGGGTGGGCTCCATATTTTGCATATTGACTCATTGTCGTTTTCTGCAGTACTCTCCATCACCCCATCAATGACCAGCATGCCACAATAACTCTACAGGAGAAGTTGTGGCACACATACTTTGGTGGTAACCAAAAGTATTGGTTTTAAGACTCACTCAACAAAATTGGATTTAAGACTCACTCAACAAAACTGATACTTTGGTACTGAAAACTTAGCTGAATGATTAGTGCTGATGAAATAAATCTCTGTTGTTGGACAAGACCCTATAACCACTAATTTACTAAAACACATCATACTTTTAAAGAATAAATTTATTTTAATTAGCTCTCTCTCTCTGTGGCATGTGTGTGTTTGTGAGTGTGTGTGTATTATGGAGGTAGGTGTGAAAGTAGGTAGGTATAAACGAATAAAAGTATTTGCCTTGAGAGGCTAGAAAAAGTTGTCTCATTCCCTGGAGCTGAAGTTACAGGTGTTTGTGAGCCATCTTTAGTGATTGCTGGGGATTGAATCTGGGTCCTCTTTGCAAAAGCAGCAATTGCTGTTAACCTCTGAGACATCCATCTCTCTAGTCCTGACTAGATAAAAATTAGAGTATCAAAGTTTCAAATTGATTTAGTCCAAATTTAAATGTTCCTTAGAATACGTGTCATGCTTTCCTTTTTCTTCCATTCCAATTCTCATTGACATTTTGAAATCTCTGTTGTTTGTAGTCTAAACTCAACCTCCGAATGCATACTTTTCACCCTCTGATCTCAAGGAGAAATCAAGGTACTACTGAGAGGGGGAAAGGTTAGCGTTTGCAGATTTTCTACTTAGACATCATTTATATCTGGATTCAAAAGATTATTCTACTTTACCCTTTCCTAACTGAAATACCATCTAAACATTTATATTTGTTTTGAAGAACTTACCTTGTATTTTATTTTGTATATTAATTCAAGCCAGAGATATTAGCATAGTTTGCCGTGCTTTGTCATTCTTTCTCAGAGAAGTCTCTTCTTCATGATGCACATGTGTGTATAACTATACACATGCCTGAAGCACTGACTTCTGCTGCTCCTCCATTTACAAAGTTTGCCAGATATGGCTCTACATTTAATCACTTCACTCTTTCTGAAGTGAATTCTTTGCTATTATGAAAACATTCCTATTATTATTGTTCAGTAAGAAGAGAATAATGTTAAATTGACTTATTCTCTAGCAGTACACTTACTTTTTGTTGTAAAAAAAAAGGACTTCTTGACAGGATTACTAAACACTAAAATCACTGCATTGTAGAACTCTCATTGCCCTTTATAAAAAAGCAAGATTACCTTTTTTCTCTTTAGAATATTATGTTTTCCATCTTCTCTTGAAAGAGAATGGAACTTCAAACACTGTTTCTCAACCTAAGGCTTCCCAGGCATATATTTACACATATTAAGGAATCTTCTTTTAAAATTGTCAATGCTGTCAAGACTAATTGTCAAAAGCAGCTCAATTATAGAGCTAGTTTTTTTAAATAAAATTATTTTGTAAAATTTTCCATCTAAAATAGCACCTACTGTTTCATTCATAATTGCTCCAATCACTGCCATTTTATAATATGCTTTATGTCACATTTCTTGTCAGCGGGATACATTATCTTTCAATATTCCACTTTTACAGGCCTCATCACAGGGATGTGTAAAACCAAATCCTCTGTGAAATAATTAACTGAAAATACCAGAGAAGTTGTGTTAGTTTTAAATTTTGCTTGGTTTTATTTTTGAGAGAAACATTAGGTGTGCAATTATTTAAATTAATTTTAATGCCCCTATTATTAAGATGTATACACAGGAGATACTGAAAATATGTTAATAATGTTTATTACAATTAATTTTAAATGGGAGTTGAGATTTGAAATGTTGAAACTTCAAGGTATAAAATGAAAACACCTGACTCAATAATCTCAGTAATAATCTCAGTACTTTAAAAAGAGTTAAGGAGATACCATAGCAGTAAGGAAAGGAATGTGGGAAGATCCTAATATGAGCTTAGTGCCAGTAAGGATATTTTTACAAGGGGGTGGGAAAGTGTTAAATATAGACAGACAGACCAAAATACAGGAGAGTTTCTTTAAAATAAGTAAAAATATTTTAAATATATATATTTAACTTAATCTGTGTGGTGTGGTAAAATTTTGGGGGTACCAGAGATGAATAAGCTTAATTACAAAATCAGTCAGATTCTAACCCTTTGCCTGTTTATTTGAAACTCATTTTCTTTAAAAGTTTATTTATGGGTATGCTTGTGTGTGCATGTGTCGCCTGAGAGCGGATATCTGCGGAGGGCAGAACAGGGTGCCGAGCCTCTGGAGATGGAGTACCAGGTTGTTGAGAACCAACTCATATGGGTGGCAGTAGCCAACGTGTGGCCGTGTACAAGAGAAGCAACTGCTGCTGTTGCAGAGCCATTTCTCCAGAGCAGTTCATCAGCAGCAGCACATTTGAGTTTATCAATATATAACTTTATTGTTAAGATAAAAACTGCTTCAGTTAATTTAAACTCTATACCCAGTTGGTCATATACTTTTCTGTTTGCAAGTATTAATGTATTTCTCAAAAAAAGAAAAAAAACATAGTAAATACTTTGTCACCTTGGCAGAAAAATGTTTTCCAGCACCTTGAGAGAAGTTCATTCATTTTTTCCAAGTTTAAAAGTGTGCAAAATTAGAAATTAAAAATGTTGCATACTTTGCCCATATAGGATCAATTGTTACAAATTAATAAAATAATTTTTCTCAATAAAATTGCTTCAAAAATAACTCAAATTTTTTGTTGCAGGAGACAACTGCCTGGCCACTGAGTACAGCAAGATGAAAAGTATGCTTTTAGATTTACAAAACCAAAAGTACATTACACAAGAAAATGAGAATCCTAACAGTGATGACATATCTAGGAAGAAGCCGTTGGTGGATCAAATGTTCAAGTATTTTGATGCAGACAGTAATGGACTTGTAGATATTAATGAACTAACTCAGGTATGATCAATGATTAAATAAAATGCCTTTCTTAAATATAGAACATAGTTTTATATTTGTGAAAATTTCTATATTTAAATAATATATTTAGTTCATATTATCAAATGAGTGGAAATTAAATGTTAAGATCTGACTATATAACTGGTTATGGAGGTATATGCAAAGAGATGGTGGGAATGAAACTGGACTGAGATACACAATTTGATTCTGTCTCAGAAAGTCAAAGACTTGGGCTAGCAAGTGTGTGTGTGCCTGGCTTCTATCGCCAAGCCACAGGGTAAAACAAACAAACAAACAAACAAACATACAAAAGACTTAGCTAATTTATCAGAAACATTTACTTAATACTGCACTATTTTATAATTTACAAGAAATATGTGCTTGTGATATATTCTATATCTTAAGCAAAACTATGAGCTATGTTGTGGATCTTGTAAGATCGCCACTGTGGACAATGATGCACGCTGCTGCGGGGTAGAGCTCTGAAATTTTTACTGCTCAGAAGTTGATTACCGTGTGTCATCATTGGCTTTAAAGCTGCATATGGTCATGGACCATTTACCTGTAATCTTATGTCCTTTGTTTGTCTTTGAATCTTAAGCAATGCAGGACTCATGAAATAAGAAAGTGTTCATTTCTGTCCTCTGAAAGAACTTTGTTAACAATTTATATCTCAAGTGTTTGATAGAACACATCTCAGCCTAGTCTTTTTTCAGTTTGAACTATCAGTAACTGATGATAGAATATCTTTATAGATATACATATATTTCAACATGTCCATTTTAGAAAATCATATCTTTCAAGAATTTATCTAATTTTCGAGGCTATCAAATTTAGAATATGGAATTATTCTTAATATTTTTTATTTACCTTTGTAACTTCATGGACTCTTTTTTGCTTTTATTAAGTATGAATCCTTCTTTCATACACTGTATCACAATCACAGTTTCCTCTCCTTCTATTCCTCCCAGCTGTTCTTCCCATCTCTTCTATCCCCAAACATCCTCCCCCTCAATTTTCTATTCAGAAAAGAGCAGGTCTGCAAAATGCTACAGCCAAATAGGGGGAAAAAAAAAGAAGAAGAAGAAGATAAAACTAGGCAAAAGGCCTCATACCAAGACTGAACAAGACAATCCAAAGGAGGAAAAGGGTCTCAAGAGCAGGAAAGAGAATCATAGAAACATTGCTCCCACTGTTAGGAGACTCCAAAATCATCAAACTAACAGCCTTAACATATATGCAGAGGACCTAGTGCAGACCCATACAGACCCTTTTCTATGTCGTTCCCCAATATCCAAAGGAAGGAACCAGATTGGGCACCTTCAATACAGACTCTCTGTACAATGTAGATCTCTTCACTCACTCCCATCTATTGCTAGAAGAAGCCTCTGATGACAAAGCACTAATCTAAGTATAGCAGAATATCATTGGGAATTGTTTCTCATTTCACTGATATTTTTTTTTTCTTTTGCTAGTTGTTTTTGGTTCTATCCTAGAGCTGTGGGCTATCCAGCAAGTAGTTCCTGTCCTTTCAGTCAATAGACAGCATAGACTCCTTATAGAGGCATGGGCCTCAAGTTAAACCAAGCATTGGCTGGCCACTTCCACAAATACTCTGCTACCATTGCCTCAGAACATCTTTCGGGCAGGCCAGATTGTAGGTGGAGAGTTTTGTGGCTGGGGTGGTTACCAGGCTTCTCTTCCCATAGCCACCGCAGGGCCTTCTCAGGCCAGAGACTACAACATATGGGGGAAGACTTTATGCAGGCACCAGCTCAACCTCTCTGCCATCAATGTAGATGTTTTGCTCTGCAGTGGGGCCCCACTATCAGCTTTTAGAGAGTAACCTTCTGTCCAAGCATCAGCCTTGGTTGTTTAGAGATCTAGATGGGAGATTCCCCTAAGCCAACAACTCAATTGACTATAACCTAGTCTCAGTACTGGAAACCTTGTCTGGCTACAATAGATGACCAGTTCATATTCTGTATCTTTTATTACTAGGAGTTCTCACTCGGGTCATGCACATAGATTCCGGGAAGTTTCCACTGCACCAGGTTTCCACACCACCTCCCTAGTCCAGTGGTCTCTCCATATTGTCTTCCTCCCCCTCCCCATACTTCTTGCTCTTGTTCCCAACAATCCCCAGTCTACATACAAAATTACTTCTATTTCCCCTTCCCAGGGTGGTCAATGCATCCCCCCTCCCCTTAGAGACCTCCTCTTTACCTAACTTCTTTGGGTCACCATTTTGTAGCTTGATTATCATTTACTTAACAGCTAATATCCACTCATAAGTACTCATGGGCTCTTTAATGATTCTCCTGTATATAGAAAGTGCTGGTATTTCACCCTCCAGTAGCTATTTAGATAAAACAAAACATGGGCTGAAGAGATGGCTTAGCCATTAAAGGCTAGGCTCACAACCAAAAATATAAGAAAAAAAAAAAACATTTATATGGGATCCTTGGAAAATATGTGATAAATATGTTTTAAGAGGTTTTTGCCTATTGTTCTGAGGGTTTGATTATTTATTTAAACAATGTATATATATATATATATATATAGTAACCCTTGACATATATATATACATATATATATGACAAGCGTTATAATGTTTAATATACATGATATATTCTTAAAATTTAACAGATATCCTGTAATAATAAATATAAAAAGTAATTAGGTTTTAAGAAGTAAAGTGCAAAGGTTTTAATGATATCTGTCAATAATTTAAAAACCATTTTCACCAAATAATATACAATATGTTATTCTAAGATATACCTGGTTACAAGTGATAATTAATAACTATACCTTCTCTGTGAGATTTTATGAATACAGCCTGGGAGTTGTCTCCATGTATTTTTGTCTTTACTGTCTGTAGTGCAGATATACTCTAGAGTTTCTCATGCATATTTTAAAGTGAATCAGCAGATACAGCCTTGTCTTGTTGAGGGAAAATTCACAATAAAAAGCAGTAATTAAAGATGACAAGATTACAGTTAACAACTTGAAAGCATCATAGTTAAGAACTTGTTAGCAGGAAGAAAAATGTTAGCTAAAATGAGCTGACTGGTTGTGGAGATGAACATTCAAATCCTCCTTCTTGATTACAGCCTAACACAAATGATAATAAACACACACAACTTATTTTGCTATGTAGAATGTGTTCAAATAAAATGCAAATTTAATGTAAAGTCTTAAAATTTTAATGGGATAATACTGCATGAAATTGATAAAATTGTTTTTAGGCCACTGGAGAGATTTATCACTGCCTTTGAAGGTCTAGTAGGGTTTAAAAGGCAATATTAAACAGTAAGTGGCAACGACTCTTAGGATATTCCTTTCCCAAGATCAAAACAGAATATTTTGTTTGCAAAGGAACTGGAGCTTAAAGTAAAGACGTCCTACAATACTTTGAATTATCTTTTTTTTTTTTGTGTGTGTGTGTGTGTGATCACAAATTTGCAGTCAAGAACTTTGACTGTAACTTTATAAAGCTACTTATTTGCTGTGTAATGTTTGACAAGTCATATGCTCAATTTCTCATACTCTCTCAAGGGTCATTAATGACTTAAATTTGATGTAACAACTGTTGTGGTTTGGTATATATAAGTTTTTTTTTATAAAGATAATAAGTACACAGGCAGCATGACGTTGGATGTAACACCAAATCAGACTTTCATGAAGGCACAGTGGGATGATAATGGAGGGAAAGAGGACACCTTTTTAGAGCTAGTGAGTCAGTAGTAGAGAAATTTTTTCATTATGCCTAACCTTAGCATCTTTCATGTATGATGTGTAAAAGCAATCAAACATTAGTTGAAGTTATAACTGAGCATGTGTGCACAGCTTCAAACATGCAAAATATTTTAAGTGATGGATTAATAATGGAAAATTATAATATAAATAGAAAAACATTTTTGTTATACTGATAAATTAAAAGAAATGAGGGCATGAAATCTACTTTATTCATCCCTGAGGATCTCATATAACAATTCCATATATTAGCATGTTAGTGAGTCCTAGGGGTCTCTCCAGAGACACATAAATGTTTTCCTCTGCAACCATGGAGGTCTACGTTTCCTAGAACACCTGTAGTCATATCTTTATAGGTGGATGTTAAACGGAACCAAACATAAGTTAAATAACACATATTTTACTTTGGGATGCTGATATACATTGAGCTAAAATGTTTCTTGATAATATTAAACTTTAAACATTTATGTACATGTAGTTTTTCCTATAAATTAAGTTATATTTGATCAAAATACAGTTTATACATGTATAAAACTCTAAAAGAATTTTAAGATGCTTAATTAAAATATTAAATTTAAAATAATATGTTAAAAAGAATGAAATTATTATTTTAAATTTGAGACTTATTTTATTAATTACTGCATTTTAATTAAATATGTTTAATTATTTAAATATTTACTATGTATGTATATATTCAGTTACATTACCATAATCCAGATTCTATTTTTATTTTTTTATTATTATTACTATTATTATTATTTACAATTTATTCACGTTGTATTCCAGTTATAGCCTCCTCCCTCATCTCCTCCCCATCTCACCCTCCCTCCCTCTTCGTCTCCTATTCTTCTTTCCTAGTCAACTAGTAGGGGAAGTCCTCCTCCTGTACTGTCTGACCTTAGCCTATCTGATCCTATCAGGACTGCCTGGATCCTCTTTCCCTATGGGCTGGCTAGGTCACCCCATCAAGGAAGAAGTGATCGAGGAGCAGGCAATTGAGTTTATGTCAGAGACTGTTTCTTCTCCTCTTATTAGGGAAACCAACATGGAGACTGAGTTTTCTTTGGGGCTATATCTGAGCAGGAAGGGGTCTAGGTCTTCTGTATGCGTGGTCTTTGGTTGATGCATCAGTCTCTGCACTTTCCCCTGGGCCCAGATTTTTTGGCTTTGTTGGTCTCCTTGGGGGGCTTCTGTCATCCTCCAAATCTTTCTATTTCCCCCTTCTTCCATAAGACTCTCTGAGC